GTGGAGGTGGGAGCAGTTCATCTTCCCTTGGTCTGGCTCTCTGAGCACTGGGCAGGTGATGGCTGCAGAGCAAAGAGACCCTTCAAGCAGGAGCTTGGAGACTGAGAGACAAAACTGCTGGGACTAAGAGTGTGAGGGACATTCTAGTGTCACCCCAAGGCCAATGGCACCCTGAGCTCTAGGCAGCAGCTCTACCTTCACATCGTGGAGTATCCCCAGTCCAGATCCCCATGGCCGTGCACGCGCGGCTCTCTGACCCTGTCAGCACAAACCCCGCCTGGCAGGAGAAGCCACACGTGGAGCCGAAGGCAAAGTGTCTGTGGAGGTGGGAGCAGTTCATCTCCCCTTGGTCGGGCTCTCTGAGCACTGGGCAGGGGATGGCTGCAGGGATAGAGATACATTTCAAGCAGAAGCCTGGGGACTACAAGACTAAACTCCTGGAATGAAAAGACCAAGACATCCAAGACCATCATAGGGCCAACCCAAGGCCCTGAGCAGCAGCGCTACCTTCACATTGTGGAGCATCCGCAGTCCAGGTCCCTGTGGCCACGCATTCGAGGTTCTCTGACCCCGTCAACACAAACCCCGTCTGGCAGGAGAAGGCACATGTGGAGCCGAAGGCAAAGTCACCGTGGAGGTGGGAGCAGTTCATCTTCCCCCAGTCTGGCTCTTTGAGCACTGGGCAGGTGGTGGCTGCAGGGCAAAGAGAGACCCTTCAAGCAGGAGCTTGGAGACTATGAGGCTAAACTGTTAGAATGAGAGGATCAAGACACCCAAGAACATCCCAGGGTCATTCTAAGGCCAGTGACACCTTGAGCAGCAACTCTACCTTCACATCGTGGGACATCCCCAGTCCAGTTCCTTGTAGCCGTGCACTCACGGCTCTCCGACCCCATCAGTGCAAACCCTGTCTGGCAGGAGAAGGCACACGTGGAGCCAAAGGCGAAGTCCCCATAGAGGTGGGAGCAGTTCATCTTCCCCCGGTCTGGCTCTCTGAGCACTGGGCAGGTGATGGCTGCAGGGCAAAGAGACACTCTTCAAGCAGGAGCTTGGGGACTGAGAGACTAAACTCCTGGAACAAGAGGACCAGCACATGCAAGACCAACATAGGGTCAACCCAAGGCCTGTGACACCCTGAGCAGCAGCTCTACCTTCACATCGTGGAGCATCCCCTGTCCAGGTCCCTGTGACTGTGCACTCACGGCTCCCCAACCCTGTCAGCACAAACCCCGTCTGGCAGGAGAAGGCACATGTGGATCCAAAGGCAAAGTGTCCATGGAGGTGGGAGCAGTTCATCTTCCCCCAGTCTGGCTCTCTGAGCACTGGGCAGGTGACGGCTGCAAGGAAAGAGAACCTTCAAGCAGCAGCTTGGGGACTGGCAGATCAAACTGCTGTGACTGAGAGTGTGAGGGACATTCTAGTGTCACCCAAGTCCAATGACACTCTGAGCTCTAGGAAGCAGCGCTACCTTCACATTGTGGAGCATCCGCAGTCCAGGTCCCTGTGGCCATGCATTCGAGGTTCTCTGACCCCGTCAACACAAACCCCGCCTGGCAGGAGAAGGCACACGTGGAGCTGAAGGCAAAGTCACCATGGAGGTGGGAGCACTTCATCTCCCCTCGGTCTGGCTCTCTGAGCACTGGGCAGGTGATGGCTGCAGGGCAAAGAAAGACCCTTCAAGCAGGAGCTTGTCTCTAAGCTATGAGGCTAAACTATTAGAATGAGAGAATCAAGACACCCAAGAACATCCCAGGGTCATCCTAAGGCCAGTGACACCTTGAGCAGCAACTCTACCTTCACATTGTGGAGCATCCCCAGTCCAGGCCCCTGTGGTTGTGCACTCACGGCTCTCTGATCCTTTCAGTGCAAACCCCGTCTGGCAGGAGAAGGCACACATGGAGCCAAAGGCGAAGACCCCATGGAGGTGGGAGCAGTTCATCTGCCCCCGGTCTGGCTCTCTGAGCACTGGGCAGGTGATGGCTGCAATGGGAGAGAAGGTCTCAGAGGCAGGATAGATGTGGTTAAAATTAGATGTTAGGACTGACTCCAAATCAAACAAAACCGAATCTATGGTGATATGTCTTTGATTTACCTTTCTCACCTGGACAAGTATCATCTCTTCAAACACAGTAGTAATGTGGTTAGTGCAATGATTT